GCGAATGACTTTGAATGAAGAAACTATAACATGGGTTTTTCTCTAAAAAAGATATTCGCCTATGTAAGAATCCTTATAACTTACTAAAATCGTAGGGGAGGTATAGGGGGTATTGGGGGAAGTTATGGAGGTATCGGGGGGTGGTTTGGGGGTGTTGGGGGGGTGTATGGGGGTATTGGGGGCAGGTATGAGGGTGTTGGTGGGTTATTGGGGGTGCTGACCAAACTTTTTTCCTTTTTTCTTTTTTTTTGGCGGGGTGCCACTAACCCCCGGCTGGTAGGTGCAGGCCAGCAGACCAGTCAAGGGGCGCCGACCCTCAGGGTATCCAACACTGATCATAACCAAAATATGACTCACGTCTGGAAACAGGGCATCCTTTAAAATTGAAACGATACACAGAAGATTAGCATGGCCCTTGTGCAAGGAGGGGGGGAGGGGGGGGGGGGAATAAGGCAAGGTACGTCTGTACATGCCTACCAGCAGAATCGCACGCAAATTTTTAATCCAAGGAATATGGTTCAAATCCTATCTAGTTGCACAATGACAGGGGCCAGCCTTTCAACAGACATCAAATCAAGTAAAATGCATTCCAAATCAGGGTCAAATGGTTAACTTTCAGACAATGCAGCGAATAGAAGGCTCTCAGCCCTCAGCAAATCACAAGCAAGTTGGTGTGAACAGCATGTCATCACAAGCAAACAGAACACATCGTTACCACAGTGATAGCCCTTCTCCTGCGTTCAGGCACATCCATAGATATCATAAGATGATGTCACAGCACGGGACATCCTGCCGATTCCTGCGGACTGGATGTTATCATTTGCTGGCCCTCATTCTCTCTCCGTGTGGGGTTGTATATAAGCCTATAAGGCTATAAGGCTATAAGGATATATAGTACGTATTGTTGCATGGAGAAGAAAGGGGGTAGAAAGAAACGTAGGCGGAGGCTAACTGTTTGGTCCGACTCTCACGGACTGTCATCCGACATACTGGCTGAGGCGGTTGTCGGATGGTAGAACATTGGTGATGACACGTCTGATCCCGGAACACGTGTCCAATGTCTCACCGAGAACACCCTGTTGGGGCATCATTTCACGTACTTAACAGAACGCCTACCTTATGTCCAGTTTCAAATCCCCACAACAAAGGAACAATCATCAGTGCTTCTTTTTTTTCTTTTCATGAGTGGTTTTTATCTTTTACTATTCCAAAAACAAAAAGTCGTAGAGACGATAGAGTGCTTTCGACAGGCAAAAGAAGTTACCATCCATACATTCTCTTTTGTTTTCCTTTTTTTTTATAATAACAAAAACACCCACTATGCCAATTCCCAAGCCCCCAGCTATATATACATTCGGACTCACGAGGAGCAGCAACCAGCACCCACCAAAGCCATTTGATGCACTTTCAACGTACTTCCAGGCCAACCCTGCTATCAGTCCCAATGCCATACATTCTCTTTTCGTTCATCAGGTTTCTCAGTTCTCCCCCCAACAAATGGGAAGGATCTGTGATCACTGCTTTCATCATTTACAATTCCAAAAACTGAGTCATAGAGGGTTTCTGACCCCCTTACCCCCCCCCCCCCCCCCCCCCTTCTCCCCGTTCTCCCCATTTCACCCTGTATGGAAATGAAGACTGAAGACGGGCAACACGCCAAAGGAGGGAAAGCCTGGAATTTATGTACCAGGGCTGAGCATCTACTGCTTGGGACACTGCCACAAGTTCCTTACCTTAGCCAATCCAGGAGTCTGACCAAGCCGGCGATCATGGCTGTAATGCGAAAAGACAGCAATTGAAAACAAAGAGACGCAAGACAATAGTGTTAAGGTAATAATTGTCAAATAGCATGAAATTTATACATGCACAACACAGGGGAATAATCAAGTTTAAGTGACATTGATGATTATATTGATTCATTATCCGATTATCCAATTATGGTTCCCTAACATAATAACCTCAGGCAGCCTTCGGACTTGAACAAGTTTGATAGAACATGTATAAGAACCTGAAGCACTGTGACTGAAAGGCATTTCCCACATTTCCCAGGAAGGCCAAAACTACCGTCTTCATCCGAATAGAACGCCCGGTCATGATCGCTGCATCTGGACTGAAAGTTGCCGTAAATACAGCTGTAATGACCGGACATTCTATTCGGGTGAAGACGGTAGCAAGCATGATGAGATGATTCTGGACAGTCTGAAACCCCACTGTTCCCGCGCATATTTGCGAAACCTGTCTTTTCATCAATCCCGGAGTTGGCAAACCTTAGCAATCAGCAGCAACAACCGAACGTCTGTTTTACAAGGCTGGGGAAGGTTGGTTGCACCTGAGGCCTCCTGAGGCTGCTAACGGACTGCACTGTGGTTGCGGCCGCAGAGCAGCCTCTGACAGGGTCGTGGCCACCAGCACCGGCCTTGCTGTTCGGCAAAATATTTCCATCCAAAACGCCTTTCTTTCTGCAGAGAGAGAAGCTCGTACGCGTTCGATCTGCACCTGTCTAGTGTTCCGCAGGAGAAGCACAGCACACCATAACAGGGCACTCTTTTTTCACTTTCCCAGAGGCTCGCCACTGGCAGGCCCAGTTCTTCACGCCGAAAAAGGCAAGGCCTTCGTTCGGCACAAATCTGGTTTACATCAACAGATGATTTTTGTTCTATTGCTGAGAATATGACCAAGACAAGATAATGCTGGGATCAGTCACTGGAGGATAGACAGGCAGCCAACCCCTTTTTTTTTTCTTTTTTTTTTTTCCAAAACGAGACCCGCCAGTCCGTGCTCCTATTCTGGGGAGCATCAGTCCGGTTTCTTATCCAACACCAAGTCAGAACACGAATACCCACTTGAATGCCTCCCCATGTTACAGCCAGCAGAGCGCTGACAGAACTGACAGCTTCCCAGCGGGAAGGGTTTGACTGTCTTTGTTGCCCACTCGTTTTGCAGTCCCATTCCCCCATTAGCTACGTACCTTGAAAGAAACAGGCGCAAAAACAGACCAGAATTTTCCCACTCAGCCCGCCCTGAGGCCAGCGCCTGCTTAAACCCTAAACCCTAGGAAATCTCTGGTCTCTGCCATCTGTGGGGTTGGCTCTGGGGCTGTGCTATGCCCTGTGTGCCCCTCCTCCTTGCTGTCTGTGACTGGCGGGCTGAATCCCCGTTATCTTCACCTTCCCTGTCAGTGAGCTGTCTTTGTCGTCTCTCTTTTCTGTGCCGCTCGTCCTTGCTGTCTTCGGAGTTGGAGCGCTCTCACGCTGGCTCAAGGCCAATGGTGGCGGAGGTGGGCATGCTGTGGTGTGGGGATTCCTCTTGTCGTTGTAGTACTCATGTGTTCCTTGGAAGCATCGTGTCCCAGTTGAATTTAAGCCTTTCTTCGGTTATTTCCCCTACTTTGCCCGAGCGCAATGTCCCCTTGGTGAATTATTCTGTCATTTCCCTTTTTTAAGTTTCTTATCTGGATTGTCTTTTATCTGCTTGTCTGTATGGTATTCGGCTTCTAGATCCTGCACCAGGCCTGGCCAGGCCTATAGGGCCACGATTGGTGTCTTGCCAATTGTTTCCTCGCGTCTTCTCTTCCAAATGGCCCACAGCGTATAAGTTCTCTGGTGCAATTCTCTGGTACAATTTGAGTTCCCATCTCTTCTACCTAGGAAGTGCAAACCCTATCAGCACTGTGAGTTCATCTTCTGATAGACGCTTACCTGTGATGGCCTCCCATAGCTGTGCTGTTTTCTCCCATATTTGGTTGGCCTTTACAAGTTCACACAGATCAGCAGGCAGTGTCGCATGTCTTCTACTTCCAGAGGGCTGCACATGGCGCACAGCTCGTTCAGGTAGTCCTTGTTATCTCTGGAACTTCTCTTGTTGAGCCACTGGTACCGCCAGGTCGGTGATCAGCCTTCGGAGGCTCCTGACTCGACTGTTTCTGATGGATAGTACGGTGTTCCACAGAAGTTTAGGGGCGGCAGTCAGCATTGTTTCAAAGTGTTTGTACTATGTTTGCTTCAGTGTTGGTGTGAGTACCTGTGGTCTTTTTCTGAGTCCGTTGCCCAGTCTATACACAAGGAGAGATGGTTAATGGAAGTCCCAAAATTCGGGGGTTTTCGCCGCATCACTGGTCCAAAATTCCAAATATGTCGAAACTGGATACAGATATACCCTAAAGTACATACATATCACACACACACGGAAAAAAAAAAAAAAAAAAAAAAAAATCTAGAATTTTTTATTTTTTTTTTCTATTTTCTGGGGGGCATCAGTTTGGTTGCTTATCACCAGCAAGCCTGAAAACCAAAGTACAGTTTGATTGTAAGAGAAGAGGAAAGCCTTACCCTTGCGGCCCTAGGCGCCTATCAAGGGGGGAACTGCTACAACCAAACCCACTTCCCATACCATAGCCTCCCCAGGGATACTTCTGTTGGTCGGGAAGCTTCCTAGCAGCACCCAGCCATGCAACAGATGGGTCCCCAGGGAAGGCCTGGCCCGGGGGGGCTGTTCTAACAATCTCACGGGCCTCTCATCCTGTCAATCCCTCCCTCTATACACCCACAAAGGTCGTCTAATCCTCATCTTATTCTTGCAACAATCACCCGCATATCAATCTCCTTCTCTATTCAACGCTCTTTTTTGCACCTACCACCGAATGCCTCTTACACTCACCCTCATATCAATCTCCTTTTCTATTCAACGCTCTTTTTTGCACCTACCACCGGATGCCTCCTATATCCTTATGTCTCATCTAGAAAATTTTCGGAAAAACAAAAATTTAAAATTCTGAATTCAAGGAAATAGGGCAGTTTCGGTGAAAATTTTGCCAAAATGACACCACCTGTTAACCATTAGTGCTGCCTTTTCACTGTTACTCGTACTTCGGAGTCTGGCTGAGAGGCGGCACAGGAGGGCCTAACAATCTTACTATCTCAGACTCTGATCTGTACTGCGCTCTTACTCACTGGAATCTAGTGTCTAAATCGAAGTGATCTTGTTGGCATGCATACTCGAATGATATGTATACTTCAAAATGCAGCCCAGAGTTCTGTTAATCGATGTGAATGGTTTTAAATTGTCCTTACAGTGCTTACACTCAATTGGAAAATCCATCATGTCCTTCGTCAGACCAGCAAATCACAGCTAAAGAATCAAGAAGGGCACAAGGTAGAAGAAATCGTACAGGGCATGATTTCCCTGCGATGTAAACTGTAGCTCAAGGCCATGTAAATGGCGATTGGATGCAGAGGGATAGACCTGTTGGGAACTTAATTCACACCATTGGCCTGCAGGGAAGGAAAAATGCTCACTTTTCTTTGTCCAGAAGTAGCGAAAAATTTGGCAGTTGAGCAAGTGCAAACTTCCTGAGGGCCACATGTGAAAGCTCACCCTCGTAAGCAATCGGCTTTGACTTCGCTCCATGAGGAAATACCATTGCTGCCCGGTAGACTACATCATACTGCAGAGACACACCAAACAAGTACAGCACAGCACAGCACAATATAAAGTCAATAGTACTCGATACCCCTTTAGAGTGTACAGGCAAGGCTACCAGGGTTCCACCAGCCAAGTATGCACGGCAAGGCAGCAGAGCCCAGAATCAGCATGAAGTCTTAAATCATGAATGGTCTGACTCTGCATTTTGGCAATCGAAACTTCTGACAAGATTTGTGACAACACAAAATCACATCCTTCGAGACATCTTTTAAAATTGAAAAGATACGGAGAAGATCAACATCACCCCTCCACAAGGATGACCCACAAGAAACAAAGCCTGGTCAAAATCAACCTAAAACAATAATGAGCCTATCTCAATTGGTACACCCATGAATCCAGATGATGACGAATTTATGAAATCAAATATTCCCAGTGTTGCACAGCTGACAGCCAGCGCCCCCAACTGGAAGGGGGGGCGACCAGTCAACCGGTCGGCCGGTCGGCACCCCGCAGGCAAAGAAAATAAAAATAAAGAAAACAAAACAAAACCACCATAATGGCATAACCCCTGAGTGAGGACGCCGCCCGGCCGGGCTGGGCCCAGCTGGTTGGGCCCGGGGCGGCCGCCCGGGTAAACCGGGCAGGACAAAAAAACGCCCAGAATTTTTTTTAATTCTTTTTGAAACCGGGGTCGTTCTGCGCTCGGCGAGAGGACCCCGAATCTGCAACAAAATTTTGGTTTTGGTGGGGGGATG